ATTCTCACTCGTCTGCCGCCATGTAAGATGTGCCTTTTGCCTTCAGCCATGATTGTGAGGCTTTCCCAGCCATGTGGAACTGAATGCATTAAACTTCTTTTTCTTTATAAATTACCCAGTCTCGGGTATGTCTGTAGCAGCAGGGTGAAAACAGACTAATACAATGACTGGCAGTGTAAGGTTATTTATTTTATTTTATTTTATTTTATTTTTGAGATGGAGTTTCACTCTTGTCACCCAGGCTGGAGTGCAATGGCACGATCTCGGCTCACTGCAACCTCCGCCTCCTGGGTTCAGGCAATTCTCCTGCCTCAGCCTCCTGAGTAGCTGGGATTACAGGCACGTGCCACCATGCCCAGCTAATTTTTTGTATTTTTAGTAGAGATGGGGTTTCACCATGTTGACCGGGATGGTCTTGATATCTTGACCTTGTGATCCACCCACCTTGGCCTCCCAAAGGGCTGGGATTACAGGCTTGAGCCACCGCGCCCAGCCTAGGTAAGGTTATTCTTATTTGAGTACCTGGCAGAGTATTTTGTGAAAATGGGAGAAATGAGGCTGTCATTTCAAAGAAAACAAATGACAAGGATTTGTTATCAGTGATAAAACTTTAGCTTTCAAGTGAATTTTGGCAGCCTTGTAGCTGCCACTGTGATCTTGAAAGCTATACAGATCCTTTCTAATGACATCAGTCATGATATTAACAACTGATTTTTGTTTTGGATAATGAAATGTGTCAATATATAAGACACTTATATAACTCAGAGAACCAATATTTTCCAAACTGCCAATGCATAATGCTACAAAATCATGCATGGGTAAAGATCAACTCAAAATTCAAGACAGACTAGTGGCTCGTAACACAAATGTATGAATAGTTCATTGATATGTTTTTGACTTCCACATTGCAATAACCCTTAAGCAATTACCTAATGTGCTGAGTTTTGGGGTATCAAAGAAAAGTATCAACAGTGATCTGAAAAGTTATGATCTGAATGAAAATATATCTCTTTTCTAGGTAATAGATTTATAATTTTTAAAAAATGAATGTCTATTAAAAATGTATGTTTTAATTGAAATTTTAATTTAACAAATATACATAAACAAAAACTCTTTGGGATCCTGTAAATGGGTCCTGGGGACTATTTGAAAAATACCACCAGAAAGTATTATTTCAATTACTGAAACCTACAAATGGTTAAGTATTTTCTCATCACCAACATTAAAGTATGAAGTAAAACCAATAGAATTGCTCTGAAATATAAGAGAAAATACAAAATCTAAGGTGCTTCTTCGGTGAATTACATTTATATCATATATCTTTTAGATTTTTATAATTGTAATTAAATTTTGTTTTCTCTAATTTTTTGTTGTTGTTGAGATGGAGTTGCCCTCTGTTGCCCAGGCTGGAGTGCAGTGGTGCAATCGCAGCTCACTGCCACCTCTGCCTCCAGGTTCAAGTGTTTCTGCCTCAGCCTCCCAAGGAGCTGGGATTACAGGTGCCTGCCACCACACCCGGCTAATTTTTGTACTTTTAGTAGAGACAGGGTTTCACCATGTTGGCCAGACTGGTCTTAAATTCCTGACCTCAGTGATCCGCTCACCTCAGCCTCCCAAAGTGCTGGGATTACAGGCCTGAGCCACTATGCCTGGCCTATAATGGTATTTTAATTTGCATGTTGAACAAGGATGGCTCTTAAGGTATGACATTAACAGCAACTCTACTTTTGTCTCCCTTGGTCCCTTTAAAGCTGTTCATTGAAGGATTATTCTTCCCCTGCTCCTGAATGAAAATTTAGTTAATACTATGACTTTCTAATTATTTCCACTATATACGCTCAATCACATTTTAAGTTGCAAAATACAGACTCTCTTTGTTGATATCCCACCCATTGCACTCTGCACCCATCCTTCTAGGATGGCTCTCCCTCCCACTAGGCCCAATCTGGCTGGTGGGAAACATGTACACATCCTCAAATTCTGGGAATTTAGGCTGATTCTAATGAAGCAGTGGCAAACCTCTTCACTTCTGTCTGAGCAGCTGATCTATGCCCACTCCCAACTGCAGAGGACATGTAACAGGCCCTCTGCCACCCTCTCATGGGGCTCTAGGTGAAAGGTGAAGCAGTAGCATGAATTTGGTTCTCAATATTTCTTTTGAAAAGCTGCAGCTCTGCCATTTCTTTCACTTTAGAATTTTTTATCTACTGAGTCTTGCTAATTAATTGCAATTTCCAATTATAGAATAATATAATTTTACTTTTATAATAAAGAATTAATTATATCTATTTTTGAGTATATATTATATATATAATACTGTACTATATATGAAAGACAGACAAATACTTACATGGCATAATTCTGTCCTTTAGAAGTTTACAGTTGAGTAGGTAAGGTCAGTATTTTCAGCCATTACATAGATGTGAAAAGATTTAGTGTGATTACACTTTCCTGGTTTCTGGAATCAAACCAACTAGGCATTGATCTTAAATCCATGATCTGTTAACATATCTTTGGTTACTAGTGATCTCTGTCATGACATGATTTATGTCAAAAGACTCCTTGGTTTGAAAATCTGATTAAACATGTCAGTATATTTTCTAGACTTGAAAATTGGTATTTAGGCCAGGCATGGTAGCACACACCTGCAATCCCAGCATTTTGGAGACCGAGGTTAGTGGATCACCTGGGTCAGGAGTTCAAGTTCAGCCTGGCCAACATGGTGAAACTCCATTTATATTAAATATGCAAAAATTATCTGGGCATGGTGGTGCACGCCTGTAATCCCAGCTACTCCGGAGGTTGAGGCAGGAGAAGTGCTTGAACCCGGGAGGTGGAGGTTGCAGAGAGCTGAGATTGTGCCACTGCACTCTAGCCTGAGTGACAAAGTGAGACTCTGCCTCAAAGAAAAAATAAAAAAGAAAATTGGTATTTGTTCCTTACCTCTACAGATGCTTTTCAACTTGTGATGGGGTTACACACTGATAAGCCCATTATAAGTCAAAAACACACAAAATCGAAAATGGGTTCAATATACCTAACTTACCAAACAACAGCTTAGCCTAGCCTACTTTAAACATGCTCAGAACACTTAAATTAGCCTACAGTTGGCCAAAATTACCTGACACAAAGCCTACTTTATAATAAAGTGTTAACAATCTCATGTAATCTATTGAATACTATACTGAAAGTGAAAAAAATGGTTGCATAGGTTCTTGAAGTATGGCTTTACTGAATGCATACGGCTTTTGCACCATTATAAAGTCAAAAAACTATAAATTGATCCTTGTAAATCAGGGATCATCTGTGTTCTGATGGCCACCACACCTGGCCAATTAATTTTTAATAGTTTAAAAATAATTCACATGATATAAAATTCAAAAGATACAAAAGAGCATACAATGACAGTTTTCCTACTCTTGTCCCTTTACAACTTTTTGTGGAGTTAACCACTGTTAACAGTTTCTTTTTTTCTTTTCTTCTCTTTTTTTTTTTTTTTTTTTTGACACAGGGTCTCACTCTGTCACCCAGACTGGAGTGCAGTGGCGTGACCATGGCTCACTGCAGCGTTGAACTCCCAGGCTCAAGCGATCCACCCGCCTTAGCCTTCCCAGGTGCTGGGATTACAGGCATAAGCCGCCACACCCAGCCACCAGTGTCTAATGTGTCCTTGCTAGCTCTAGTTTCTTAAGAAATGTGTTTGCATAAAGCAAGATCTAATCTTCACTACAGATGTCACTGATACCCAAATACAATCTATGGTTACAGCCTCGGTTAAGGTTGGCAATCTAAAAATAAAAGTGAGAAGCTGTCAAAGGGACTTCCTAAAAATAAAAGAGAAGTTGTCAAAGGAACTTCCTAAAACTGAAAGAGAAGTTGTCAAAGGAACTTCCAGGATAATAACTTAACCTACAGAATAATCGTTTAGACTGGCTTGGCTCAGTGGCTCACGCCTGTAATCCCAGAACTTCGGGAGGCTGAGGCTGGTGGATCACGAGGTCAAGAGTTCAAAACCAGCCTCGCCAATATGATGAAACCCCATCTCTACCAAAAATACAAAAATTAACTGGACATGGTGGTGCAGGCCTGTAGTCTCAGCTACTTGAGAGGCTGAGGTAGGAGTATCACTTTAACCTGGGAGGCAGAAGTTACAGTGAGCCAAGATTATGTCTCTGCCCTCCAGCCAGGGTGACAGAGCAAGACTCCATCTCAAAAAAAAAAAAAAATTGTTTAGACTGTAATTAAAGAAATGACTGGGCATAACTACTGATTTACAAGTGAGATCCAGTTTATATTATGGTATGAGATCTATTATAGGGGTAATATGAACAGGTGAGGTGCCATGGTTTCTACGGTAGGAGGATATATACCAGGGCTTTTATACAGGCTAAATGGGCTATTGCTACTTTGTTCTCCTTCAGTGAAGAGCCACATTAGCCTAAAAGTCCAAATTATTCTGATCTTAATGTCTATAGTTTGGTAGCAGTTAAGAAGTCATTTTAGTCTATCTGATAGATGTAATATTGTAAATCTGAAATTTTCTTATTGTTTATATAAAGCATCATGTTCAATATCATGAACATCATCATCCTCTGCATAGCTAACATTTATTGAGCACTGGTCACCACCTTCATTATCATTATCATGACTAACATTTTTTTTAAGAGACAGGGTTTCACCATGTTGACCAGGATGGTCTTGATCTCCTGACCCTCGTGATCCACCCACCTCAGACTCCCAAAGTGCTGGGATTACAGGCGTGAGCCACCATGCACAGCCTTATCATGACTAACATTTAATGAGCTCTTACTATGTGCGAGGCCACCATATAAAGAATTCACAGATAATCATGACCAAGTCTATGAGGTAGATACTTTCATTGTGCCTGTTTTACAGATGAGGAAACTGAATAATGAAATGGGTTAAGTAATATACTCAAGGTCACACAGTTAGTAAAAGATGAAGCCAGGATTTGAACCCAAGCAGTCTATCTCACTAACCTGTTATCAAGGGGCATCCATGGAAGAGTAATATACGTATCTGAGGACAGTAAGTAAGGACAGCTTCAACAGCCCCATCAGTCAGATTTACACAATGTCCCATATGAATCTCCTATGCAAAAATAAAGAAAATAAAGTCTAATGAAAACATAGATCTATAATAACAATATGAACAATTTTGAGAAACACTCTGATACAAAAAGTACCAAATATCTACTTACAAGAAAAACTATATAGAAAAGACCAGTGTAAGTCTGAAGTAATTTGGAAGGAGCAGCCTAAAAAGTTAAATGCCCAACCATTTTATAAAGTAATGTGTAATATCTATTAAAGCTGAAGATGAGTATGCCCCAGAACCCAGCAATTCCAATTATTAATATATACTATAGAGAATCTCTTCTACATGTGCACAAGGAAACAATTTATAAATATGGCCTTTGCAGTATTACTTGTAATAGCAAAAAACTGGAGAACGGGAAAATCAATGGTTTATAAATAGAATAGAATAAGAGAAAACAGCTCTAATGAAAAATACTTGTATTAATAGATAAAAATCTCAAACATGTTAGCTCAGATCCTTTGGAAAACAGTATGGTAGTATCTTATAAAACTAAACATGTATTTGCTATATGACCCAGCAATTTCACTCTTAGGCATTTACCCAAGAAAAATGAAACATATGTCTACACAGAGGCTCATATGCAAACATCTGTAGCAGTATTATAACAGTCCAATATTAGAGCAACCCAAATGTCCGTCAAATGATACAATTATTATTTTTTAATTTCCATAGGTTTTTAGGGAACAGGTAGTATTTGGTTATATGTCTAAGTTCTTTAGTGTTCATTTGTGAGATTTTGGTGTACCCATCAACTAAGCAGTATACACTGAACCCGATTTTTAGTCTTTTACCCCTCACCCTCTTCCCATCCTTTCCCCTTGAATCCCCAGAGTCTATTGTGTCATTCTCATGCCTTTGCAACCTCATAGTTTAGCTCCTACTTATGAGTGAGAACATATGATGTTTGTTTTTCCATTCCTGAGTAACTTCACTTAGAAAAATAGTCTCCAATCCCATTCAGGTTACTGAATTAATTAATGTCATTAATTAATTCCTTCTTATGGCTGAGTAGTATTTTATTGTATATGCATATATATATATCACAGTTTCTTTATCCATTTGTTGATTGTTGGGCATTTGGGTTGGTTCCACATTTTTGCAATTGCAAATTGTGCTACTATAAACGTGTGTGCAAGTATCTTTTTCATATAATGACTTCTTTTCCTCTGGGTAGATACCCAGTAGTGGGATTGCTGGATCAAATGGTAGTTCTACTTTTAGAATTTTAAGGAATCTCCACACTGTTTTCCACAGTGGTTGTACTAGTTTCCATTCCCACCAGCAGTGTAGAAGTGTTCCCTCTTCACTGCATCCATACCAACATCTATGTTTGTCTTCTTTTTCTTTTTCTTTTTTTTGAGACTGAGTCTCAGCTCTGTCATCTAAGCCTGAATGCAGTGGTGTGATCTTGGCTCACTGCAACTTCCACCTCCTGGGTTCAAGAGATTCTCCTGCCTCAGCCTCCCAAGTAGCTGGGATTACAGGTGCATGCTACCACGCTCAGCTAATTTTCGTATTTTTAGTAGAGTTGGGGTTTCACCATGTTGGCCAGGCTGGTCTTAAACTCCTGACCTTAGGTGATCCACTCACCTCGGCCTCCCAAAGTGCTGGGATTACAGGCATGAGCCACCATGCACAGCCTGATTTTTTTATTATGGCCATTCTTGCAGGAGTAAGGTGGTATCACATTGTGGTTTTGGTTTGCATTTCTGCAATCATTAGTGATATAGAACATTTTGTCATGTTTTTTGGCCATTTGTACATATTCTTTTGAGAATTGTCTATTCATGTCCTTAGCCCACTTTTTGATGGGACTATTTGCTTTTTTCTTGCTAACTTGTTTGAGTTTGTTCTAGATTCTGGATATCAGTCCTTTGTCAGATGTATACATTGTGAGGATTTTCTCCCACTCTGTGGGTTATTTGTTTACTCTGCTGACTGTTCCTTTTGCTGTGCAAAAGCTCTTTAGTTTAATTAAGTCCCAGCTATTTATCTTTGCATCGAATGGTAAAATTATAAATAAATTGTAGCATATCTGTGCTATGGAATACTACTTAGCAATAAAAAGGAATGAAATATTAACATATGCAACAACATGGATCAATCTTGCAAACATTATGCTAAGTGAAAGAAGTAAAAGAAAGAAATAAAAACCAAAATACTATATTATATTTTGCAGAATTCCATTTATATAAAATTGAATTTATATACAGTTGTAGAAAAGGCAAAACAATGACAAAGTAAATCAGTAGTTGCCAAAGAGAGGGTCACAGAAGGGGATCAACTACAAAGGACCAGAAACCCAAAAAAAAAAAAAAAAAGAAAAGAAAAGAAAACCACAGTTTTAGGGTGATGAAAATGTTCTATGTATCAATTGTTGTGTGGTTATATGGCTGTATAACATTTGCCAAAATTTATCTAATTATACACATAAAATGAATTAATTTTCTTGTATGTAAATTATACCTCAATTACACCTGAAAATTTTCAGAAAACATAATTCCGAATAACGCAAGTTGTAAAGGGACATATATATGATGAAACTATATAAAACAACGCTATATCTTATTTATGGATTTATACATAATAGAAAAAGGATCCATTTCTGTCTCAGCAAGGTCCACAGGAAAAAAAGAAAGAAAAAGTATCCAAACATGCAAGGAAAGATACATAATCATATTTAGGATTCTACCTTTGAAGGCAGAAAGGGAGAATAATGGAGTGGGGCTTTTGATGTAACTTTATTTTATTTTATTTTAGATGGAGTTTCATTCTTATTGCCCAAGCTGGAGGGCAATGACACAATCTCTGCTCACTGCAACCTCTGCCTACTGGGTTCAAGCGATTCTTCTGCCTCAGCCTCCAGAAACCAAAATCCTGTGTTAAAAGACTTCTTCATATATTTAGAAATAGGTTACAAGTGCATTAGTCATTCAATTCAAAGGATGTACACAAATTTGAGATCTTTTTTAGGCTAGGTGTGGTGGCTCACACCTGTAATCCCAGCACTTTGGGAGGCTGAGGTAGGAGGATCACCCAAGGTCAGGAGTTTGTGACAAGCCTGGCCAACATGGTGAAACCCTGTCTCTACTAAAAATACAAAATTAGCCAGTGGCACATGTCTGTAGTCCCAGCTACTTGGGAGGCTGAGGCATGAGAATTGCTTGAACCTGGGAGGTAGAGGTTGCAGTGAGCAGAGATTGTGCCACTGCACTCCAGCCTGGGCAACAGTGCAAGACTCTGTGTCAAAAACAAAAAAATCTTTTAAATGATCGTACAATATGGCTATTGAAAAACAGAATTGATAGGATGACAAGAGAATTAGTACTCCTGGTAGAAATACCAGTTAGACCTGAAATCCTATTATAAATTTAGACTAATAAATATTCACAATCTTCATCCATAATAAGATGATTCTTAAATCTGTTAGAAGCTAAAGCTTCTGGCAAATAAAACATTTTACTGGAAGTAAAATGAGTTTTTATTTTAAAACACCTTTATTTTATTTCCTTAACAGTTTTTACTCTGGCAATAAAGAGACAGAAACCCCCTCCCCCAAAAAAGTCCATAAAATACTTAACTGATAAAGCATGGTTATCTGCTAGGTTTTAAAAATAATTTCTGAGAATATAAAAATTTAATCACCACTATCTTTAAAATTATTTTAAAATTACCTCTAATTTCTTGGCACAAGGTCCACTAACAAGTGCAATCACACCACTGTCAGATACCTAAGCAAAGGGAAAAAGAAACACAGCCCATGAGAGCAGACAATGGAAGCAGAATTTTTAAAAATGTATTACTTATTTAGATAGAGTCTTATTGCTTCCCGTTCATCAAACATGTGTTTTAGCCATACATACCTTCCACCCTTGTTACTTGAGAGGAATGTGCCAAAATATATTGCAATTTCTTAACCATAAAAACATGAAATAGTCAATAATTTCAACAATACCAAAATGAACTAATTATTATGTGTTCTTATTAGTCATGAAAATACATTTGGCAAACACATTTGGCCTATATGTCATTTACCTGAGTAGCTGAAAAGTCAACACACTGCAAAAACGGGCAGTTTTTTCCTAATGCATGTAAGGACACATCAGTAATACTTAAGCAGCCACCTAAATCGATGATCTTTAACAGCTGGCAATTGAGTGCAAGAGCAACGACTCCTTCATCAGTGAGATTGCAGCATCGTTTCAAAGAAGCTTCATGTAGGTATGAACAAGATGAAGCCACAGCTTTTATTCCTGAGGGAAAATATATCTTAATACAAACCCAATACTAGGGAAAAAAAAGGTCTATAGAGGGGAAAAAAGGTAAAGATTCACTAATTCATCTAATAGTGACATTGAACAATGAAGTCTGTCTAGCTATAAAAAACTATGCATTGCACAAACTGACAGGAGAGTGCCTGGTAAATTTAATCTAATGATTAATTCTTTTGTAATACGACATCAAAGAAACCTTAACAAAATATGAACTGGTCATTTCTTGTTTGACTATACCAGGCAAAATATTTAAAATATGGACATATGCATCCATAATTTCTTTAATCTTTATTTTTTTTGAGACAGAGTCTCCCCATGTCACCCAGGCTGGAGTAGTGGTGCAATCTTGACTCATTTCAACCTCTACCTTACAGGCTCAAGGTATTCTCCCGCCTCAGTCTCCCAAGTAGCTAGGACTACAGGGTACACCACCAGGCCTGGCTAATTTTTGTATTTTTTGTAAAGACACGGTGTGGGTGGGAGGCAGTTCACCATGCTGGCCAGGCTGGCCGAACTCCTCAGCTCAAGCAGACCACCAGCCTCCCAGCTAAAAAAGTGCTGGGATTACTGGTAGAAGCCACCTAACCTGGCCCATGTTTATGTTAAATATGTTTAAAATCCAAGGTAATGACTTACCCAGTGTCTTTCCTAACGTTGAGCACTGATTATAAGCAAGTATTCTAACTTGGATAATTTTCTTAGTCTGAATGTTTTTACTGATTAAATATAATTCGTATTTCTTTGACATCTTCATACTCTCTTTTGGTGTATTTTCTCCCTTACTCCACAATTTTACCAGATACTGAATAGTAATCTACCAGTGTACTCAGTATTAATAAACATACCTTCTGAAGTTACGGAAGCTCGATTCCCTTTTGAACAATTTAAATTTAATTTCTTTAGTTTTCTACAGGTAGACAGGTGCAGGAGAGCAGCATCTGATACGTCACAGCTCCGTAGGTCTAGAGTTTGGACTTCAGGATGTAAAATCTGTAACAAATAAGTGATTTTGAAAAATTATTTCTTTTTAAAATTTTATCATTATTATTATTATTTTGAGACAGAGTCTCACTCTGTCGCCACGCTGGAGTGCAGTTGTGCGATTTTGACTCACGGCAACCTCGAGTAGTTCAAGAAATTCTCCTGCCTCAGCTTCCCTAGTAGCTGGGACTACAGGTGCGTGCCACCACACCCAGCTAATTTTTGCAGTTTTAGTAGGCGGAGTCTTACCACATTGGCCAGGATGGTCTCCATCTCTTGACCTCGTGATCTGCCCATCTCGGCCTCCCAACCCAAACTCTTGGGGTTACAGGCGTGAGCCACCGCAGCTAGCCGATTATTTCTTTCTATAAATACATTTATTCCATATTCAGTGTTTCAACGGTCATAACAGACAAGTGGCTGATGTAAAATACAGCAAAGAATACAGAAGCATATCCATGTAGAGACAGACAAATAAACGTAAAGCAGGAGAAAACCAAGTGCAGCTTTCACTGCTAGCAAAGTCCTTATTGGGACAAAAAACACTATTGAGATGGCTTATTCAGGGAAAGGATCCATAGATCTCAGAAGCTTAACCAATGTGGCAGTGAGTAATAATCCTCTGGTGGCTGCTCTCATTAGAGACCCTCCCTATGAATCTCTGGGCTTAGGAAGTATGAGTTTTTAATCACTTGTGTACCAAGTGCCTACAGAGCACTGGAATTGCTTATCTAGAACATTTGCCTTCTGTGAGATATGGCACGGTTTCTCTTCTAACAGCCTGCTCAACCTTTTATTCAATTCCCAGTACCTCCCCCTACTTTCTTCTTTTCTTCTTTCTGATTTTACTACATGCCCAGACCTGCCACAACACCATGGAGTTATCAGCACCAGCTCACATTCCTACACTTATTTAAAAAAAGATTTGAGTCTCTAGTCCGCCACAGACAACCCCTTCCTCCTCTCCCCTCTCTCCCATTATGGGTCCACCTTATCTAAAGTAGTTTAAATGTTTAGCCGATCGGGTCTAGTGTAGATTGTGCAGTCCGACCCCAGCCAATGGGGAAAGGACACCGAGACAAGAGTCGCATTGGAAATAAAAGCTTCTACTCGCCTTTATTTGGGGCGCTCTCGTGGCCAGCCTTACAAGAGGCACCCTTCTACACAGAAGTAAATTTACTTTACTGAAAAAATCCTTTGTCTGAGTACTCACTTTTCCTTACAACTCCAAGCTTTATTTCTAACGTATATCATTATTTTTGGGATCTAATACAAATAATCCCAGAATTATTGGGTGTTTTCTTGAGGTCGACAAATAATAGGTTAATTCCTAAGCATTTTGAGCTCTTTCCTAGGAGTATTTTTCCGTTCTTTAATTTTTTCCAAAACAGAAATGTCTTTACCTTTCTGAAAATAAAAATAATGTATTATTATTGTAAAACATTCAGACAATAAGCCAGGCATGGTGGCTTATGCCTGTAATCCCAGCACTTTGGGAGGCGGAGGCTGAGGCTGAGGCTGGTGGATCATGTGATATCAGGAATTTGAGACCAGCCTGGCCAGCATGGTGAAGCCCCATGTCTACTAAAAATATAAAAAATAAAAATAAAAAAAATAACCAGATGTGGTGGCACACACCTGTAATTCTAGCTACTCAGGAGGCTGCGGCAGGAGAATTGCTGGAACCCAGGAGGTGGAGGTTGAAGTGAGCTGAGACTGTGCCACTGCACTCCAGCCTGGGCAACAGAGCTACACTCTGTCTCAGAAAAACAAAAACAAACAAAAAACATTTAGACAATATAGAAAAACTATAATAAATTATAATAATGATTTCTATTTATTAAGTGTTTACCAAGAAGGGTACTAAGTGTCATATATATTATGTTATTTAATATTCTCTCTCTCTCTCTTCTCCCGTAAGGGGTTGGTCATTGTCATTTTACAAATAGGGAATTGAGACCCTGAGAGCTAGTAGCCTACATAAAGAACACAGCCAAAAGGAGCAGAGGTAGGATTGGAACCCAGGTGCTTTAAATTCCAAAGCCTATATTTTTAACCTCCATAACTAAAATTATCCATAATACCAATACCCAGAGATAAAATTATATTAGTTTTTTAAAAATTTTAGATTCAGGGGTACCTGTGCAGGTTACATGGATATACTGCATGATGCTAAAGTTTAGCTTCAATTGAACCCAAAATCCAAACAGTGAACACAGTACCTGACAGGTAGGTTTTCAACCCTTGCTTCCCTCCCTCCTTCCTCCCTTTTGAAGTCCTCACTGTGTATTATTTCCATCTTCATGTCTGTGTGCACCCAATGATTAGCTCCCATTTATAAGTGAGAGCATGTGGTATTTGGTTTTCTGTGTCTGCATTAATTCATTTAGGATAATGGCCTCCAGCTGCATCCATGTTGCTGTAAAGGACATGATTTTGTGGCTGCATATATTCATTCTGATGTTTTTTTGAGTTTAAAAAAAACTTTGAAGAAGAACAGGATCAGATCACATATAAGATGAGCCCTTTTTTATAAAATCAATAGATTGTGGTTGCATACTATTCCATTTTCTGCAAGTACCGTAACTTGTTAAATACACTGGCAAACACTTGAGTTGAACATTTAGGTTGTTTTAGGGAGGCCATGTTGTGCCGTGATTAAGAACATATGCTCTGCAGGCAGACTGCCCAAGCTGGAACCCTATAATTGTGATCAAGCTCAGTTTTCTCTCTGTGCTTCACTATCCTTATTATTAAAACAGATGATATGTTGTGAGAAATAAAGGTGTCTTGCTTATACGCTATTCACAACTATGCTTATTATTACAAATGATATTGTAATGACTATACCTGTGTACTTTTCTATTATCTTCCTCAGATTTCTACCGGAAGTAAATTGTCGAGTTAATCATAAGCAAATCTGTAGAACTTCTGACAGTGAATGCCACTGTCCTTCTAAAAGGTTATTTTAAAATCAATTGACACTCTCACTAGTAGTAGATAAAAGTGACAGTTTCTCCACACTATTGCTAACATTGGGTTTTGGGTTTTTTCTTAAGTCTCTGCCAAACTGAAAGGCAAACTGTCACATTGATGACTAGAGAGGTTAAGTATCCTTTGATATGTTATTGGAGATTTGTATTTTTTTCCTCTGAGTATTTCCTTATTCTTCCGGTTTTTTATTTGGTTGTTTTGAAGGAATTCTTTATACTGTCAAGATTTAAAAAGCCCTTAGATTTTCATAGATATTGTAAATATTTTTGCAAGTTTTTGACTTTGTTTCTTTTTTCTTCTTGCCATAAGGAAATCTGTATTTTTATGTAATCAAATCCATCCATCTCTTTTTTTCTTGGTTTCCAACTTTGGTATCCTGTTTAAAAAGGCCTTCTCCATTCAGAGAGTATAAAAAGATTTAGGAAATACTTCAAAAACAGCCATCCAAAGATGTGTGTAACTTTGTAACAGATGTTGTATCTGGCTTTTTGAATAATGTCATGAGCAGGACTCTCATTAAGGGTAGAGACTAGAGGGAGAATATCCAGAAAAATCATGTCTTGTTTTTCTAGCTCATTCACTCTCTTTACTTCTCCTTTTCATTCAGCTAAAATAAGGTTTCAAAAATGGTAAGGGCTGACATCAAACAAAAACCTAAGTCACTGAAGTATAAGCTAAAGGGATAGAAAAAAATGAGGATAGTGGAAAAGTGAAGAAAACCACCATTTTCCCACAGTGTCATAATGGTTCATCTATGAGTCACACATAACATTACATACTTCAACAGAACCATCAACAATAAGAACCTGGAGATATGATTCTACTTCCACAGAGCCAAGCAAACTACACCACTAAGATGTCTATGTTCAAATGTAAGCTAATAGGAAGAAAATAAAGCATTATAATAAAGGTATATCAGGTTAATGCAGAAGAAACATTAGGGACAGGTTGAAGTCCAATTCCAATGTAAAGTCACAGGGCTGGTCACATGCTCTACCATGTGGGCTGGGGCAGTGGCTCACACTTGTAATCCCAGATCTTTGGGAGGTCAAGGTGGGCGGATTGCTTGAGTCAAGAAGTTTGAGACCAGCCTGGGCAACATGGGGAAACTCTGTATCTACAAAAAATACAAAAATTACTTGGGTGAAGTGGTGGGCACCTGTAGTCCTAGGTACTCAGGAGGTGGGAGGATCACCTGAGCCCAGGAGGTTGAGGCTGCAGTGAGCCATGATTATGCCACTGCACTCTAGCCTGGGTGACAGAGATCCTGCCTCAAACAAACAAACACCACAGAAAAACATATGCTGGAGTGCTATCATCAGAGCTTGCTTACTTTTGATTATGGGCATTAGGTAGAAGGTAAGGTGAAGTTAGAGAAATTGTGGAGTCCTAATTATGGAAAAGAAGTCAGGCTGCAGGACCAGAGTAATAAAAACATAAAGCAGATAAGCTATAGGTCTGCCTTTCTTTGTGGCCCAGAACATATAGCCCTCCTGTGCAGACAACATACGTAACTTACAAACTTCTTGCTTATCACCAAACGATTTATCATCAAACACCTCGGCTGACAGAAGGTTGCAAGTTAGCTCCCTGCTACCTTGGTGTTGTCAATCAGCCCAAGTTCCATTCTATATAATCCCCTGCAAGCCTCTGTCTCCTGGCAGTTGGCTCCTCTCTTGCTGGCTCTGCCCATTGCTCTCTTGCAATGTATTTTCTTATTTTCTCTAATAAATCTGCCTTTCTTTACCTATAACTGTCTTGGTAAATTATTTTCCCACCATCCCACCAGCCTGGATAGTTGCCATTCACCCTCAACAGCAATTAGCAGTTCTAGTCTCTGCAGACTAGATGGTGATGACTGCAGAGTGGTGATGGCTGCAAACACAAAGACAGTATTTAAATATAAGTAGTGGAGAAATTGCTAACTAGCATTTTCAGTTTTTGAAACACAAATAGCAAAAATACAAAAGATAACACAGGAGTAATAGCAAAGGAAATCATCTATTCTGTTATTTAATAACCTTTAAAAATCAGGGGCTGAAGGTTAAGCCCTAATCTGAGGGGCTGTTTAGCAGAAGGAAGAGTGATTAACTGTCTTTTCCTGGTACTTAGGGTTCTCTGCCTTGAAGCTCATCCCTCCAGCCCCTCTCCAGGCCTCCACCCACTGTGTCAGCTCAGTAAGGCTAATACAGTCTTGTTTATAAATAAAAAGAGGAAGCATATAAGCTATAGGTCTGCCTTTCTTTATGACCCAGAACATATAGCCCTCCATGAAGCACCAAAAGAGGATGTGGCCTCCTTTACTCTTGCCTCTACCAGAGAATCTACACAGATATGCTCACAGGACAGAACAAGACACCTAGAGAGTATCACTATTTCAAAAGAAAAACAAAGATTACCGATTCCATCAGGAGCAGCGGATTTAGAACACAGGGGCTAAAGGTATTAATAAGCATAATAGTATGCTAAAATAAATAAGAAAAGACTAACAAGATAAAGCAAGAAACCATAAAATGGTAAATTGGAAATACCAAATATGAAAAATATAGCAGTTGAAAAAAGAACAGTATAAATGAGAAGAGTGATAGTTTTTGTTTTGTTTTGTTTTGTTTTTTTAAGACAGAGTTTTGCTCTTGTTGCCCAGGCTGGAGTGCAATGGCACAGTTTTGGCTCTCGCAACCTCAGCCTCCCCGGTTCAAGTGATTCTCCTGCCTCAGCCTCCTGAGTAGCTGGGATTACAGGTATGCACCACCACACCCGCTTAATTTTGTATATATATATATATTTTTTTTAGTAGAAGCAGGGTTTCTCCATGTTGGTCAGGTTGGTCTCAAACTCCCAAAGTGCTGAGATTACAGGCGTATGCCACTGCTTGAGAACAGTGATTTTTAACTGCTGGTCGTTACTTATGAATGGATTACAAAGTCAGTTTAGCAGGCTGTGATCAACATTTTTTTAAATAAAATAAGACTAAGTAGAAAAAAAATAAAATAGAAAAGACCAAACGTACTGCACATTATACTGTTACACATAACTGTGGTTTGTGTAGTAGAGTCACAATGTAACATATATTTCTTATGTGAGTCTTGACCAAAAAGTTTTAAAACTTTTTGAAAACGTGGAGGTCAAGGGTACAGGTACCATGAAAACAAATGTGCATGGAAGGCTAATGGGAGCTGACCAGAGCAACATCATTTCCTTCCTGAATGTCATTCTGCAGCTGCTTGACCATAGAATGCACTTGCTGATGCTGCAGATGAAATTGCTGCTACTTATGAAAAGACTACAATATGCTGATGACTGAACTTTTTCCAAACCCCTTAATCAAGGACTTCTGCCTAGAAACCCTTATTCTAACTAATGAATTGTTTGATAACCCTTTCCCACCTTTTTCTTTAAAAGACCTCACATATCTCTTAGGACATGTGAATTAAATAGTTAGGACATGATTTCAGATGCCTCTGGAGTCTGTGTTCCTTGAATTGCAATTCTAAAACCACCAATAAACCTTTTTGCTTGGATTTTCAGTCTCCGTGACTGTGGTTGACATGAGAGAAGTAACTGAGACAATGGTGGAAGGAGATTTTTTAGGAACTGTTACATATGGACATTTTGGTTATCTGGAGGGAATAAAACAAACTCTGATACTTTATAATATTCTAAAATGTGGGCCAGGCACAGTGCTCACACCTATAATCCCAGCACTTTGGGAGGCTGAGGCAGGTGGATCATTTGAGCTCAGGAGTTTGAGACTAGTCTGGTCAACATGATGAAACCCTGTCTCTACAAAAAATACAAAAATTAGCCAGGCATGGTGGTGCACACCTATAGTCCCAACTACTCAGGAGGCTGAAGAGGAATCACTTAAGCCCAGGCAATGGAGGCTGCAGTAAGCTGGGATTCTACCGTTGTACTCTAGCCTGAGCAGCAGAGCAAGATCCTGTAACAACAACAACAACAAAAATTAAAAATGATTACCAGTCTTACCATATACTATTGCTCCAAAAATCTAAAACCATATCTAAACAGAAAATATAATACACTTGCTTTACAGTTATTCATACTCTTACCTCACTTATATTTGAATCTGTTATCCGCCCTTGCATGCTCATTATTTTGATCAGTCTATCTTTTATGTTGGGAGGCAAAGGCTTAATGTCTGTGATATATCTGGAAATATTCTTCATGAAGCACCAAAGGCATCTGAAATACAAATACAACACAGTAAATCACATTGGGCCTGCACCGATTCCTAACACTTGTCTTAATGCTATTTGTTAGCACTTAGCCCTTTCATACAAGTGTATGTTTTGGGCGTGTGTGGTAGCTCACACCTATAATCCCAACACTTTGGAGGCCCAGGTAGGAGGATTGCTTGGGCTCAGGAGTTTAAGACCAGCCTGGGCAACATGCTGAAAGCCTGTCTCTACAAAAGGAAATAAAAAAATAAGCTGGGCATGGTGGTGTGGGCCTGTAGTCCCAGCCACTTGGGAGGCTGAGCGGGGAGGATAACTTGGGCCCAGAAGGTTGAGACTGCAGTGAGCTGTGATTGTGCCACTACACTCCAGCCTGGGCAACACAGCAAGATCCTTCTCAAAAAAAGTATATACATCTTACATTAATACTATATTTAAAACTCTAGCTCTTTAAGCTTCAAAAACCTAGTCTGCATTAAATTATGGACAAGATGCTCTTCCTCTAAATTTTTTTTTTTATGCATACCTCATGTTCCAAAATGCATTTTAAATGACCAACAAGAGTGTTTTTCCTAAGTTTCTAATTCCTAAGACACATATTCCTAAATAAGCATTACACTGGGACCCACTAATTGAAAAGTTTTATCTGTTAATCCAGCAAACTTGTTTTCACTATTTTTCTTGAAAATTACGTGGATAATGAAATCACTAGAGAAAGAACCATAACTACAAAGATTCTGCAAATAATACAAATCACAGAGATATTAAACTTAGCACCGGCATTGTACGTGCAGAGAGGAGAGTTACCAGACAACAACAACCAAGAATCTTATGACCAACATATCTATCTGTAGACTGAAATTCAACCATCTGAAAAACTCATACTTCAAACAAACAAAAATCTTATTAATTTCTGTGTACAAATATCCCCACATATACAAAATTTTACATTCATGAATGACTGTGGTCTTATACCTGTAATTAATATATATATATATATACATATTTTTTTTTTAGACTGAGTCTTACTCTGTCACCCAGGCTGGAGTGCAGTGGCGAGATCTTGGCTCAGTGCAACCTCCGCCTCCCGGGTTCAAGCAATTCTCCTGCCTCAGCCTCCCAAGTAGCTGGGACTACAGGTGTATACCACTACACCCAGCTAATTTTTGTATTTTCAGTAGAGACAGGGCTTTACCATGTTGGCCAGGATGGTCTCGATCTCTTGACCTTGTGATCCGCTTGCCTTGGCCTCCAAAACAGCTGGGATTACAGGCATGAGCCTCCGTGCCCAGCCACCTGTGATTAATTTTTTAGTGCAATTTTAATTTTTACTTTTGGTTGCCTACACAGTTTCCTCTCTTATTCTTCCCCCTCCATTAGTTTAGCTCTCCGCACCAATGTAGCATATATTCTTACTTTTCTCTGTGCATGTACACACACACAAAACACACACACACACACACACACACACACACACACACACTCACTCTCTCTCTCTCTCTCTTAAAGGCTTGTGTTGGGGAGGGTCATTGTCTCCTAAAATGGCACCACTGTACACTTACTTTTCTACACTATCTTTCATTCAATATCTAATGAAATCCCTTCAAGGCATTAAGCACAGTTCTGATGTTCCTTGAATGGCCACATCATATTTCACAGTATGGATCATCTAATTAGTGACCCCCATGCCGACAAGCATTACCACTATTTCTAGAATATATTGTCAGGTTATTTTTCAGAAAGTCTGGAAAACACTTTATATTTCTATTGGTAGTGTTAGAAGGCTCCTTTTCCTCTACATCCTTCCAGCAATAGGTATTACGGCTAGTTTTATTGACTTATTTTATGTTTAATTTTAATTTTATTTATTCATTCATTTTTTTCTGTCACTTTCTTATCTCTATTTCCCACTCCCATTCCTCACTATTCTAGGAAACCATTCTAATGTTTAATGTGTATCTTTTCATTGTATATTTCCTTTAACATATTTGTTGTATGCATGCTTTCTGATTTGTATACATGGGACTTGTCATAGATTTGTTTCTTTTCACTCAGCACTATGTTTTCAGGATCACCTACTCTTAACTGTTGGAAAGCCTAACAGGTGAAAACGGTGTCTTGCTATTACTTTAACTTGTGTTTTTCTAACTACTAGTAAACTTAACATCCTTACATGAGCTTGCTGGCTATCTGGATTTTTATTTTTTTATTTTTATTTTTCAGATGGAGTCCTGCTCTTGTCACCCAGGATGGAGTGCAAGGGCATAATTTTGTCTCACTGCACCCTCCACCTCTGGGGTTCAAGCAATTCTCCTGCCTCAGGCTCCCAAGTACTAGGATTACAGGCACCTGCCACCACGCCCAACTAATTTTTGTATTTTTAGTAGAGTAGGGGTTTCACCATGTTGGTCAGGCTGGTCTTGAACTCCTTACCTCGTGATCTGCTTGCCTCAGCCTCCTAACGTGTTGGGATTACAGGCATGAGCCACTGTGCCTGGCCCTGAATATGCTTTTCTTTTCTTTTCTTTTAAATTTATTTTGTTAACTACACTGCATTACTGGATATGCTTTTCTATAAAGTCCATACTGTATATATCCTTTGCCTGTTTTATTTTAAAACTGATGCATAATAGATGTACATATTTTCAGGGTACATGTGATAATTTGTCATGTTCATATGTATAAAGATCAAATCAGGGTAATTGGGTTATGCATCACCTTAAATATTTATCTTTCGTTTATGCTAGGAACACTCAAATTATTCTCTTCTAACTTTTTTGAAGTGTAAAATAGATTATCATTAACTATAGTCACCCTAGTGATCTATGGAACACTACTATTTCTTTTATCTGTGTATTTATACCCATTAATCAACCTCTCTCTATGACCCCATTCCCTACACTTCCCAGCCTCTGTTAACCACCCATCTACTTGCTATCTTCATGATATCCACTTTTTTTAGCTCCCAAATACGAATGAGAACACGTGACATTTGTCTTACTGTGTTTGGCTTACTTCACTTAACATAATGAGCTCTAGTTCCATCCATGTTGCTGCATATGACAGAATTCATTCCTTCCCTCCCTGCTTTCCTTGCTTCCTTCCCTTCCTTCCTCCCTCCTTCTCTCCCAAGATGGGGTCTTGCTCTGTTGCCTACCTTGGAGTACAATGGTGCAATCACAGCTCACTGCAGCCTTAACCTCCTGGGCTCAAGAGATCCTCCTCCCTCAGCCTCTAGAGGCATGCTTACCACACTTGAGTAAGATTTCATTATTATTTTATTTTATCTTATTTTACTTTTTTTTTTTTTTTTTAGACATAGAGTTTCGCTCTTGTTACCCAGGCTGGAGTGCAATGGCACGATCTCGGCTCACCGCAACCTCCGCCTCCTGGGTTCAGGCAATTCTCCTGCCTCAGCCTCCTGAGTAGCTGGGATTGCAGGCACGCGCGCCACCACGTCCAGCTAATTTTTTGTATTTTTAGGAGAGACGGGGTTTCACCATGTTGACCAGGATGGTCTCGATCTCTTGAGCTCGTGATCCACCCGCCTCAGCCTCCCTAAGTGCTGGGATTACAGGCGTGAGCCACCGCGCCCGGCTTATTTTACTTTTTTTGAGACGAAGTCTTGCACTGTCACCCAGGCTGGAGTGCAGTGGTGCAATCTCAGCTCACTGCAACTTCTGCTTCCCGGGTTCAAGTGATTCTCCTGCCTTAGCCTCCCGAGTAGCTGGGATTACAGGCACACGCCGCCACACCCAGCTAATTATTGTATTCTTAGTAGAGATGGGGTTTCGCTATTTTGGCCAGGCTGGTCTCGAACTCTTGACCTCATGATCTGCCCACCTTAGCCTCCCAAAGTGCTAGGAATACAGGTATGAGTCACTGCAACTAGTCAAATTCATTATTTTTTAGTGGCTGAATAATATTCCATTGTGTATATGTACTGTACCACATTTTCTTTGTTCATTCATCCACTGATTCCATATTTTGGTTATTACAAATAGTGCTGCAATAAACATGAGAGTGCAGATATCTCTTCTATGTATTTACTTCTTTTCTTTTGCACATTTACCCAGTAATGAATTGCTGAATTATACAGTAGTTCCATTTTTAGTTTTTTGAGGACCATTTTGTTATTTTTTGACAAATGTGTAAGCGCTCTTTATCGTGGCCAAACACATGCTCTATGTATTTAGAGAATGTATACTATCTACATGAGAGATGTAATGTTCTCTCTGTGTCTTATATTTATGTGTGTGTATAACTATCTCTCTCCATGTATGTGTATGTGTTTGCCTACAAATATGTTTGGTGCATATGTTTATTTACAGCATTATCTAATTCTACTATATTCTCATTTTTCTACTAAATATGTGTAATTTCTATTTATGATATTTGTAATTTAAAATCAAGTTTTCCTTTCATTTCTCCAAGTTTTTGCTTATTCTTGTTTTATAATAATTTCAAAAATACAGAAATATAAAATAGGATGATATACATCTATGTACCCCAAACCTAGAATTTTATTACTCTTTTATCATATTTATGTCAGATATCTCAAGACAAAACATTTCTGATTAAGGTCAAGCATGGTAGCTTATACCTGTAATCCCAGCACTTTGGGAGGCTGAGGCAGGAGGCTCACTTGAGCCCAGGAGTTCAAGACCAGCCTGGGCAACATGGCAAAACCCTGTCTCTACAAATAATACAAAAATTAGCTGGGTGTGGTGGTGTGAACTTGTAGTCCCAGCTACCTGGGGGGCTGGGGGACTGCTGAGGTGGGAGGATCATTTAAGCCCACGAGGTTGAGGCTGCAGTGAGCTGTGGCTGCACCACTGCACTCCAGCCTGGATGACAGAGCTAGACCTTGTCTTAAAAAAAAAAATTTTTTTTTCAGATAAAATTAAAGACTCATTTGTATACTTGCCTTGTTTACTCTACATATCTCTCTTTGTAGAGACAATTACCACCATTAAGTTTTAAAAATAGTTCCTGTCCATAATTTTA